ACGAGCTGGGCCTAGACATGCACGCGCTCATAGACAAGAACACAACACAACACCTCATCACCACCACTGACCTTCAGAAGCTTTTCCCCCGGGGCAAGGTGCAGCACCGGCACAAGATCGCCTTGAATCGACTAAGCCTAGCGATAAGTGCCCAATGCCCCCAAGCTCCACACACGAAGGCACATGACCCACGTCGCTGGTCGTCCGCGCTGCCTCTGGAAGACAGACGCCTCCGCGAGATCCCCAGTGACCCTCCGTACACCGGCCTCCGGCACAAATCAAGTCTCCCCAACCCGATACTAGCACCATCCCTCGACCCACATGTACGCCGTGACACACCTGTCATGTGGAGCACGACCACGAAGAAGCCACACCATCCCCGCGCAGAGCCAGACGACATGGAGAGTGACCCACCAGCGCCGCCGAGCCACCCTGCGGAACCAGCCTGCACAGGACGGAAACGCACAAGATCCGTCCACCAGCGGCAACAGGATTTCATCAACAACAATACACGCTGTGACAACAGTAACGTGGGAACAGATAGTGCAGCTATACACGGCGTGCAACTCCGCGACCCGGCCCCGCAATGCACATCCTATATGGAAACGAGACGCGTCATGGCAGCTCTGCGAAAAGACACCCGTAGGAGTGTGCCCAACCTAGGGAACCCCCCTGGGCCTATCGTCCAGGGACCGCGACCGCGCCCAAGCCGGCAAACACGTCGCACTCTAAGCATCGGCATGACCCCCGTGACAGGAGAAATCGGTACCCCAAACCCAGTGCTGGTGTACCTTGCAGAAAAGGGACTCGACTGTACGCCAGTAGCGCCACGTAACCCCCGCGCCGGCGCAGGCGCGGGGGCGGCAAGGGCCGGCCCAAACACCACCGACAGGGACCACGGTGATCCGCCTGCGCCCGAACCGGCCGGAGCGCTACCGGGGACGCCGAAGCCACCAGAGCACCTCACCCCGCAATGGTGGAGACCTCGATGGAAAGTCGCCCGCGATCAAATACTGGAGGACAGGATACCCTGAAGCCTGA